TTCACTGCTTTCAGAAAACGGAGACAGTTTGCAGTGATAATATGATCTGATACACCAATGATCAATAAATCATTCACTAGGTTTAAATCAGAATCACAGCGAACAGTTAAAAGGACGCTGTAATAAACTATATCACAGTTCAGTAATGTAGACAATTTATGTTCAGTACTTTACAAACAGATTTAACACCATAAAACAATAATAATAACTGGATTAAAACACCATTCAGTAAATGTCACTAAACCAAATGAAACACGCAAGAAAAATTAATAAATATATATATATATATATATATATATATATATATATATATATATATATACATTTTTAAGGGATATATATAATTATTAAACAACGGTTGAACATAAAGATTATTCCATGATCTTATTGTGTTTTATTAACTCCTGATTGTATTAATTTGATTAATTTGGCCTGATTGTATCAATTATTCCTGCTGGAAAGGGCCATAATAATAATAATAATAATAATGATAATAATAATAACAACAACAACAACAACAATAATAATAATAATAATGATAATAATAATGATAATAATAATAATAATAATAACAACAACAACAACAACAATAATAATAATAATAATAATAATAATTTGAAAATGTACTTGAACATTGTATATTTTATACTGTATAGTTTAAGGATAAATTTGGTAAAATATGAACCAATAATATTAAATCAATAAACGGACAGACAGTAATAATAATCCAGTTTAAACTAAACCAATATTAATCAGCAGCTTAGCAACATGTTAGCAACAACTGGCAGCAGATCAGCCTCACAGCACTGACTGATCTCGCGCCTGATTTACGGAAAAAGAGCCGGAAATCGGATAAATGAGCCTCGAATATTCATACTCGATTATAATAATAACAATAATAATAATAAGAAGAAAATTATTATTATTATTATTATTATTATTATTATTATTATTATGTCCAGGGTATATCCTGCCTTCCGCCCAATGACAGCTGGGATAGGCTCCAGCACCCCACCGCGACCCAGAAGGATAAGCGGTTTAGATGATGTATGTATGTATGTATGTATTTATATTGTAATATATTATGATTATGATAGAATCTAGAACGTTCTCCCAGTTGTATTGTGATTCTTTTTGACAGTCAGTTCTTTTTCTGGACATTTTAAAAATAACTGAAAAAGGAGAATGTTCTCTGTAGGTGTAGAATATTTGATTGGTAGTAATAATAATAATAATAATAATAATAGTAATATAATAATAGTAATAGTAATAATATTAATAATAATAGTAGTAATAATAACAGTAATAGTGAGTGAAGGTGGAGGAGGAGAGTCAGAATCAGAGGAATGAAATCACCACCTACCTTCAGCAGCGCATCATCATTATGATCTGCTGCTCCGCTGCTCCGAGTATTTATAGCGCCAGGACTCGCCCATTGTGACGTCATCGGTCGCCATGGCAGAGTGAGAGAGAATACAGAGTCAGTGTAGCTCGTCCACTCAGTGTAAACAGACTATTGAGGATACTGAGGTCAGTCTCAGTGGACCCTCTGCTGCCTTTATGGAGCTCTGTGTGTGAAGGTGGTCACTCTGGGTCACAGGCAGCGCTTACTGGGTCTAACAAAGGGCCGTTTGGGGTTCAGCTACCTGCGCCTCACCGTCGCCCTCTACAGACCCATAGTGCACTGTTCGGGTGGAGAAGCCCAAAAGTCAGAACTCACACAGCGCTGTACAGAGGAGGAAGCCTTATTGGGTCGTAGCAGTATTTGTCTGTTTAGGGTCAGATACCAATCCCTTTACATGGCTTTAGATGGCTGCAGGAGTAATCTGGTGTTCGCTCTGCTGGAATTGGATTGCATTTTACTTTGCTTAGATCTATTAAAACAATGTTTTTTTCTTACTTCATGTGTGATAAATTCCACTTTTCTGTGTAGCAGCATATTTAATTCAGCTCTGGCAATCAGCTTTTTATCACCTTAAGAACATCAACAAGATCAGAGATGTTCTGACTAAAGCAGACCTGGAGAACCTCATCCACGCCTTTATTTCCAGCAGAACTGATCTGTTGATGCCGTTCCTGCTCTATAATGTCTTAATGGTCAGGAGCAGCGTGTTTATCTGACCTGCTGCAGCGATATGAGCCGAGCAGAACTCTCAGATCATTAGGAACTGGTCAGTCAGTCCTGCCGAAGGTGAAGACTAAACATGGAGAAGCAGCGTTTAGATACTGTGCTGCTCTTAAATGGACCCAGTGGACAGAGAGCATTAGAAGATCCCGACACTGGACACTTTAAACCAGCCTGAAAACGATCCTGTTAGAGCTTTCAGCTCCGTTTACTGTTAACGTTTCTAGACCTCTTTTCATCTGTAACGACACTTTTTTTCAATCCTAATCTAACTTTCTTTTTAATTTGATTATTTAACTATCCTAATTAAATTTCTTATTTGATTTTAATTTAATACTATTTAAATAATAGTTTTAATTATGTTTTTCTATTTGCATTTACTTGACTTATTTTAAACAACTCTGACTCTGAATTTTCTGATTTGTAAAGCTTTGAATGACAGCAGTGTTTGAAAGGTGCTGTATAAATAGACTCGTCTTGCCTAAACAGCCCTGTTTGGTTAAATATTTCTGACTGAAATAATTCCATATAAAAAATTCCATTTCATACTTTTAATATTCCATTGTTATTCCAAAATATAAAACAGTTTAAAACTGGTGCTAAGTGTATTTCTGTAATTAATTCCTTTCTTCTGCCCCTGTGCTGTTCCACTCAGTGAGCTGTAGAGGGCAGTACAGAGTCAGTGCAGTACAGAGTTAAATCAAAGTGAAAGTGTTTAGAGGACAGAACCGTCAGGAAGAGCTGAGGTGAGTAACAGCAGATCGGCTCTGTGTTTTCTTTAGATCTGTTTAATGATTTCTGTTTTATCAGATCTATCAAAAAGCTCAGTGTTCATGTGTTTAAATTAAGGATGCATCAATACTGGTATCGAGTATCGGGCTGATCCCGCACTCATTTCATTTCTCATCAAATTCACTGACGCCGACGTCTGATACCAGCTGATACTGTGTGGTGTAATCCGAGTGTAGCTGCTGTGCTAATGACTCCACAGCTGGACACAAAGCCGTCGTTCACTTTATTAATTTTTTTATATAAACTTTATTGAGTTTTCATCACAATACAAGAAGCAAAAATGAACAGAGTATAGAAAATCACAATATTACATCATTATTTTTAAATACATTCTATAAATTGAGTCCCATAAGCCCGAATCCTTTAACAGGATGTTCATCGTCTTCAGTCTTTTCAGTTCTGTTTTTATTTTTTTAAAAACATCCTCACTTGAAACACAAAGTTGATCGATAGTCATCCTGCACCTCGATTTCCAGAGTTTTGACTTCACTATACAGATTATTAACCAGAAGAGAGCCTGTTTTTCCTTTGTCATCATTTCATTAAAAATCCCATAAAATACAGGTTTCATATTTATGTCAATGTTGAGTCCGACAGCTTTAACTTTGTCCCAAACTTCTCAAGAACGATAACAGGTTAAAACAAAGTGCTCTAAAGTTTCCTCCTCTCCGCAGTTCGGCATGGGGCACAAGGTTGTCTTAACAGAGCAGCTCCACTTCACCACAGCTCTCACTGGAAGTCTCCTCACTGCTATCAGCCAAGAGGATCTCTCAGCTTTTCTGGTAGTTTTTTGTTTAACATATTATTTATACATTCTTTATTTTCTTCCTCTGTAAGGTTCTTAAAATTAACCATTTTTCACTTCACTCTAAACATTCCACCTCGGCAGATTCCCACCAGAATACACTGAGAGATTATAGACCGTTTATAAACACACAATCACAACCGCTTCCCCAACACGGGTGGAGACACACAGGCCAACAAAACCTGCTGCCGCTGTGCTGCTGCTGGAAGAGACAGATGAGGATCAAAACTATGAAACCTACTTTACTTACAGCTGTACAGAAGAGCTTTTCTGATGGGGAACTAAACCTCCACTGCAGCGCTGCTCGATCAGAGATCACTGATGTAGCAGAGTGAGATCACGACCTTCATTAACATCAGATAAATTTAATGATTTACCTGTTAAAGTTCATTACACTCCTTTACACTGACAGCTACTTCATTCTAAGTAGGAACTCAGTGTGATATCAGACTCAATATTGACGAGTACTAAAAAATGTACTTAGTCTAAAAAAATGATACTGAAGCATCACTAGTTTAAACATCATCAGTTTGGAGTCTGATCCGGTCAATCTTCTGAGAATGTTCTGGAGCTTCTGGGTTTATTTTGAAGAGGCTTTATTTCTGCATTCTTCATAGTGGACTTTCATCCTGCTGATCAAGTTATTGATCAGTCGCTCTCAGTCCTCAGAAAACTGATCAATATTATCAGATATTCCTGGTCACTGAGCTCATCACTGCACTGCGTACAGTGAAGTTCAACACTGTGTTCTTATAAAGTGCCTGTTTGGTCATATTTAACGCTGTGTTTCCTCATCAGGTTCCTGAATAAACTCTGAGTGTGAAACAGCGTTTCAACAGCAGCTGATCTCACTGCATATTTCAGACACCACTGACTCATTCTGACTCACTGAGACTCACTCTGACTCACTCTGACTCACTGAGACTCGCTCTGACACGCTCTGACTCATTCTGACTCACTCTGAATCTCTCTCTTACTCACTCTGACTTACTTTGACTCACTCTGAGTCACTCTGACTCTCTCTCTGACTCAGTCTGAGTCACTGACTCACTCTGACTCTCTCTGACTCACTGAGACTCGCTCTGACACGCTCTGACTCATTCTGACTCACTCTGAATCTCTCTCTTACTCACTCTGACTTACTTTGACTCACTCTGAGTCACTCTGACTCTCTCTCTGACTCAGTCTGAGTCACTGACTCACTCTGACTCTCTCTGACTCACTGAGACTCGCTCTGACACGCTCTGACTCATTCTGACTCACTCTGAATCTCTCTCTTACTTAGTTTGACTCACTGACTCACTCTGACTCTCTCTGACTCACTCTGACTCTCTCTCTGACTCACTCTGACTCACTCAGTCCAGCAGAGAGGATGGCTGAGTTCTGGTCATTCTTCAAACCTAGAGATCCCCCCAAAGGTGAGCACTGCTGTGATGTTTCTGTGGCTGAATTACTGCTGCTGAATAACAGAAGCTCCATATAGCACCAGAAAGTGGTCTTCTACTGGTACAAGCTTGACATTAACAATAGCAGAACCCTTTTTAGTGTGATATACAACACTTTTAAAAAGGTTCTATACAGAACCATATAGGGCAGATTCTCAATCAATCTGAACAACCATTTCATCACGCAAAGAACCATTTCAGCATGCAAATGGTTCTTTGAGTGCTCATGGTTCTATATAGAACTATTGTCTTTACTAAAGAACCCTTGTAAAACCATCTTTTTTAAAAGTGTACAAAGATTTGTGTTCAGTGTTTAACAAACTGCACTAAATCCAGTTAAAAAGACTGATTGTGCTCACTTTGTAATGAAACACATAGTTAGTGTTCTTTAAGTACTGAGGATGTTCTTAATGTTTCATGATAACATTTTATCATGGTGACAATAATGTATCATCATATTGCCCAGCCCTACATAAAATACACACAGAATTTATTTGTACAGTTTAGTTAATAGGGCAGTGTTTATTATTCTGATCTAAATGTTCATTAAGAATAAATAAAATGAGAAGTTTAGTAAATGTTTCCTGTGACAAACAGCAGAAGAACAGAATGTTTTGTCTTTTTCTTCTCAGCTCATGTTTAAACTGTAATTTCTCTTTTGTGTGATTTCTGTTGTGGAAATAGTGAAGTTCTCATTCGTTGAGGTGGGAAATACACTGAACTCTCATCTGGACTTACCCTGGAGAGGACATCAGTGGAGGAGAGTGACGTTATTCTGCTGTTCTGTCCTGTCGTTTCTCGAGCCGTAACTGACATTGATGAAGTGCTACAGAAACTTCAGCATTTATCAGGTATCCAGTTCTGTAATCAGTCTGTAACACTAACGAGTCTTTATACTCTGATGTTAGAAAAAGTTCATTTAAATACAAGGTCCCAAAACCGCTTGATGTCCCTCAGGTGGAAAGCCGAGTCTCTCTGGCTGATTTAATAAGTTTGTATGAAGGTGAGGGTGTAAAGTTAAGGCAACGTTATGTAACAATTTCACAATAAAATAACGTTTTCTAAATGAAATTGACGCTACACCGCCTTATAACCATTATATAACCTTATAACGGCGTCTCTGTCATTGCCGGAACGCCTGCTATGGCGCTATGTAACTTTGGAGGAGCAGCACGAGAACCTCTCAGCAGAACTGAGTAACGCTTTACAGCACCATGGTTCTATATGGAACCTTTTTGAGAAGGGTTTATGTTGCACCAAAAAGGGTTCTTTTATTGGTACAAGCTTGACATTGTAACAATAGAAGATCCATTTTTTGTGTTATATTACTTTATTATTTCTTTATGTTTTCTTTATTATTTATTTTTTTATCTATATTTTAGTGTATAAAACATTCCTGGTAGAAACATGAATGATGGAATAAATGTTTCTCGGGCTTGATCTAAAGCCCATCAGCGCTTTTCTCCTTCAAAACACTAGTATCTGTGAAGACTCTCTAAGGCAAGTAGGATGGTTGCAGGTGTGCATTATTTGGGGCAGTCCACCACTCATAACCCCAACAAGTTGGGGTCTAAACACAGGCAAGCGGCATCAGAGACTTATTAATATTCAACAAACAGAAAGACAATGCAGGGGTCAAAACGGCCACAAACAAAGGAAAAACAGCCTGAAACTCAGGTTACAAACAGAGACTTCACAATCAACTAAACCAAAAAATAGGTGTAAAAGTGAGTAGATCAAATGCAAGTGTGCGAGTGTGTGTGTGGGTGGAGCCAGGGAGAGTCCAAGTGGAGTCTTCCCAGAGGGGGGAGACTATATGACAGAATCCCCTTAAGGCACAGCTCCTGAAGCACTTGACAGAGGGCAGGCCCTAGCCATGAGGAGGCACAGCCACAACTGGCAGGAAATCCAGAGGGGAGGGCAGTCCACCAACTGGGTCAACAGAGGGGACAGGAGGCCAGACCAGCAATTTGGGCCAGCTGAGCTGGAGCACTGGTAAGCCAGCTGTGATGCCATCAGCCTGGCACAGAAGGAGCAGCAGAGAGCTGGCACAGGAGAAGCAGTCATAAAGCTGGCAGTGGAGCAGCTCTGGCAGCCGGCACAGGAGGAGCAGTGCTAAAAGCCGGCATCAGAACAGGATAGAAAACAGTGGAACATGAGCTGGCAAAGGAGCTGCACAGAGAACCAGGACTGGAGGAGTAGCAGCTTGGGAAGCTGGCACAGGAGCCACACAGGGAACCAGCACTAGAGGAGCAGCAGCTTGGGAAGCTGGCACAGGAGCCACACAGGGAACCAGCACTAGAGGAGCAGCAGCTGCTTGGGGGGCCAGCACTGAAGACTTGCATGGTGCCAGCACTGGAGCCCTGGAGCTGGCACTAAAGTCCTGGGAGCAACAACTGAAGTGGCCTGGGGTGCACAAACAGAGTCAGCTTCAGTTATGGTTGCCGGCTTGAGGGCAGACATTGAAGAGCCAGTGCTCTCCGGAGCACTGGACCGAGCCTTGAGGGCAGGCATTGATGGGCCAGAGCTCTTCGTAGCACTGGGCAGAGACTTGCAAGCAGGCATCAACAGACCACTGCTCTCTGGGTCAGTCCTCCAGAGCTCTGGGTGGCACTGTGCAACCCAGTGGTGGCTTGCAGGTGCTCTCTGGAGCCCTGTGGAGCTGTGGGACCCTTCTCTGCTGTTGGGAACTCTACATCCATTGTGTTCCCATTGCCTCACTTGGCAACACAGGGTCTGCGGTGAGATTGGTGTAGCCCCCCCAGAAGAATTCTTTGGGACTCCCTGGAAACAGGCTTGATTGCATTTGGGGTTTTGAAGCCACTTGCTGCAGCTTTGGTCTGCAAAGTCTTCTTTAACACTGGAGGCATGTAGGTCAGTTGCAGGTGTGAATGCCATTATTTGGGGCTGTCCAACACTCATAATCACAAGAGGCAGGGGTCAAAACACAAGCAGGCAACATCAGAGACTTCGACTAAACCAAACAAAGCAGTAAATAAGAGGATAAAGAAGTCCAAGATCAAGTGTGTGATCATTTATCCATGTATCTTTTTCATTTCTGTAGACTCCAAGCCTGCTGTTCTAGTGGTTCTCCATCATGATGTAGAGAAAACTCTCACTGTGGACTGTCTGTTCTATGAGGATACAGGACTACTGAGATGTCAGAGGAACCAGGAAGCTACAGAGTGGATAAAGCAAGACAAACAACAGTGGTGTAAGTACAGCTGCATTTTACATTACCGACTGTTGTGTTTTATTCAAATTACTTCGCTGAAAATAATAATTAGATTATTGTGGGTGCTCAAGTAGTGCAGTAATTCCTTTTAATGAGATTAACTCTCCTGTTATTCATGAATCCACCTGCATATCTATCATCCTCAGTACCAGATGAGAAAGATAAACTGATCCAGGTGAGTCTTTCAGCCGCATAAATTTTTAACCAATTTTTTACAATACACTATATTTTAAAATTATAAAGCTAAATCTCATAGGAAAATAGAACAGTCAGGTTTTACTGTCTTCTTCAATCTTCCATCAGGACCCGAGAGCAGAGGTGAGGAGGCTGAGGGGAGGTGAGTGTCGTCTCTATGAGGCTCTTCTACAGTCTAACAGTTCAAACACTCACAAACTAACACTAATTTAACACTTTACCTGAGACGATTTCAGTTCTGTTCTCTGGGCTCCCATCACTCAGCGTGATGCTGCCAGCGCAGGCGTCTGTTAGCTGACGTAACAGATCTGGCGGTCAGCGTCTCCTCCGAGCGCGTTCAGCTGTACAGTGACGCTGCATTAGCAGCAGTTTGAAAAGATGGTGAAGCTTCACAGAACTCAGAGGAAGCCTGTGTTTGCCTTCACCCTCCTAGAGCTGATGTTGTGTGGTTGGGGGAGTCAGGACTAGTGGATGGAATTGGATACGACTGAATTGGGGAGAAAATTGGAAAAAATTTAAAAAAAAAAGAAAATCTGATTCTGTTCTCATTTTACAGAGACTGAAGAGAGAAACACGCTATGAAATACAGAAAAATAACATTCTGGAAAGGATGGATGAAGCACTGATGAATGAAGGTAAGTTTCATATTTTTAAGGTATTTAAAGTGTAACAATGTGAAATAAAACTTCAAACGCTTCTGCACTCAGATTACAGAAAGGAGTCCTGGAAATCCTGCTTTATAGTGATTAGACAGTGTAGTGGCTACCATTATAGTTCTGTATGCTGACATTGCGGCAGTTGCTTCGGACAGCTAGTAATTCTGACTCCTTTGGGAAAAAGAGTGGCTCCACTTTCCTGTGAATTTCACATTCCTGTTCCTCTGTTTTCCCTTTGGCCTTCTAAAAAGTGTTTTAATCATTTAAACAACTCCAAACTTTGAAGTACAATACAAATGAATTGTGCATTTTCACCTTGCTCTAGTTATTTTATTACTCTGACAGGTTGTGCATCTACAGTAAATCTTTGGACTCTCCAGCTGGGTCCTCTGTGCTTCACCATGCTGATACTGATTCACTGACTAACAGAAAATAGATGGTGTGAGATGTTTGGTCACTGGTCACTTTGTTTATTATTTGTTGATTATCTTTAAGACTTATTATGATGGTTTATAAAAATGTGAAGATTGACAATCAAAACTGCAATCACAATAAACAGTAATGTATGTAAGAGAGAGTTTGACTCAGTTCTTAGCCAGGAGTCAAAAACTGAGGCAGACAGAGAGACTCAGCCCTCCGCCTGTTAGGAGATGTGCAGTAGAACATGTCTTACTGGTGATTGTGTCACTGATGTAGCGCCTGAATCCACAATTGATAAAGATCATTCAGCAGATTGTGTTTTAACTTTACACGCTCGCCTTCTCACAAACCTAATACATCAGTCTGCAATATCACTTCACATTAACATACACTATGTGGACAAAAGTATTGGGACACCTACAGGCGCTTGACTCACAATCTCCGTTCTAGTTCATCCCAAAGGTGTTTAATCCCAAAGGGGTTATGGTCAGGGCTCTGTGAGGGCCAGTCAAGTTCTTCCACACCAAACTCACCCAGTCAGGCCTTTATGGAGCTGCTTTGTGCACTGGGGCTCAGTCATGCTGGAACAGGAAAGGTTCTTCACCAAACTGTTCCACAAAGTTGGAAGTGTACAACTGTCCAAAATGTCTTGGTGCTGAGTCATTAAGATTTCCCTTCACTGGAACTAAGGGTTCTAGACCAACCCCTGAAAAACAGCCCCATATTATCATCCCTCCTCCACCAAACTCTACAGCTGGGACAGTGCAGTCAGGCAGGTAACGTTCTCCTGGCATTCGCCAAACCCAGACTCGTCCATCAGACTGACAGATAGAGAAGAGTGATTGGTCACTCCACGGAATACGGTTCCACTGCGGCGCTTTACACCCCTCAGTCCGACACTTGGCACTGCGCATAGTGATCTTAGGCTTGTGTTCAGCTGCTCAGACATGGAGACCCATTTCGTGAAGCTCCTGGTGTGCAGTTCTCTTGCTGATGTTGCTTCTAGAGACAATTTGGAACTCTTTAGCGAGTGATTCAACAGAGGACAGACACTGTGTTCTTCAGCACTTGGTGGTCCCGCTTTGTGAGTTTGAGCGGTCTAGCGCTCCAGGGCTGAGCTGTTGTTGCTCCTAGACGCTTCCATTTTACAATAATAGCACTTACAGTTGTCTGGGGCAGATCTAGCAGGACAGAAATTTCACAAACTGACTTGTGGCAGAGGCAGCATCCTATGACAGAGCCCTGTTTACAGTCACTGAGCTCTTCAGTACGATCCATTCTACTGCCAGTGTTTGCCTATCGAGACTGCAAGGCCGTGCGCTTAATATTATCGACCTGTTACTGATGGGTGTAGCTGAAACACCTGAACTCAATAATTAGGACGGGTGTCCCAATATTTTTGTCCATATAGTGTTTATATATATGACGCTGCAGAGACCTAAAGAAGAACTCAGTATTAAAGCTGTGTGTGTTTTACCTAAAAGGTCTCTGTAGGTTGGGGATTGTCTCAGATCTGAAGATGGTGAGGATGGAGGATCCTGAGTTTGGGAAAAGCAAAGCTGGAAACCCCATCCAGGTCAGAGAGGAGGAGAACCAGCCTGGAGCATCTACAGCACCACAGCAGACAGAGAGAGAACAGAAGGGGGTTGATGGAGAAACTGGGACTGACGCCTACGACTGGACTACAGTCCAACATGTGCACAACAGGTTTAAACACAGAGATCAACAACCTAAAGAAAACATTCCTGAATCTGAGAGAAAACAAGATCTGGAAGAAAGTAAGAGGCTCTACCAGGAGCAGATGGAGGAGATCAGGAGGGTTTATGGAACAGAGACAGATCAGATTATGATCATCCTCCCAGAACTAGAACAGGTCATTTGGGTTCCAAAGTCAAAAATACAGAAAATGCTGAGAAGAAAAGACCTGAAGGTAAATGAGAACCAAAATGTAAAGACCGATTCAAGTCCTGAGGAACGACCAGAGGGTCAGGAAGATAGAAATGTCTGATTTAGTTTGAGCGCGACAAACTCCTTGCAGATAAGTTCTTCTTCCAGATACTGATCTTAAAGAGAGCCTATTATGCTTCTCCATTGTTCTCTTTTCTTCAGTGTGTTGTATCTTGTTGTTTATGTAAATGTTCTGCAGAGTCCCAAATGTCATTGTTCCCTCCAGAGGGAGAAACTCTCTCCCACAGAACCCACTTTTCTCAGCAGCCTGAAACGCCTCGTTGGAATTCCAGCCCTTTTCCTTTGTTACAGGATGACATCATCTCGTAACACAGTCCTTACTGCCCGCCTATTGATACGGCAGCACCGGCACTGCTGGAGAAACAGCCACAGCGGAGTTACAGCTGCTCAGGAGAGAAGAGTCTGTCTGCAGACTGCAGGACAGGGCCGGAACCTGGAGGGGTGGGCTGTGGGCGAGCTGACCAATCAGAGTACACTGAGCTCATCAGTAGGCGAGGCTTAAAGACAGGAGTTTTAACAGAGCTTTTCAGACAGAGGGCGAATAGAGATGAACAGTATGAGGAAAATGTGTTTTTGGAACACTGAAGGATGTAAATCTGTTCTAGTATAACAAAAATAAAATTATCAACACTAAAATGAGCATAATAGGCCCCTTTAATTAGGCTTTGTGTTTCAGTGTTACGAATTTTACTATTCTGAAAAGTTATTACTGATATCTGGTGAACTGCAACGTGAAAGTGTGTCCAATGAACATTCGTTTAACTTTCCTCCTGAGTAAACGTAAACATGGTGCATCTGCCAGCATCTTTAACTTGATCACAGAAAATAGTGAAATTTAGCTCTCACGTCTCACACGATTACAGTGGTGGTGCTACTTAAAGTTCTGTAACTCAGCGGTTCTCAAACTCGTCCTTGGGGTTCCCAGGCGCTCCACGTTTTTGCTCTGTCCCTATGCAGTGTGAGAGGGGCTGCAGTAAAAATGTGGATGTGGTGGACCCTGAGAACCGGACTGAGGAACGCTGCTCTAAGTGATGGTTGTCCATGAAATAAAGGAAATAAATGTAAATTAAATTAATATAAGCATTACTTGTTGTTTGTTGAAATGTTTGTGTTTATCATGATGCACAAAATGAAAAAGCTCATAAAAGTTACGTATATGTTAGAACAGTGATCTGAGATCAGGTGGGCACGTGATAATCAGCAGTTCTCCACTGATCCACTAGACACAGGTCATTCTTCAGCAGAGGGCAGCAGGTGCAGCAGCAGAGAGCCGAGTGGGAGTGGCCGGTAGTTTGTGTGATCGGGACTCTGCAGTCTTGGCAGAGTTTGAAAGAGCAGCTTCACAGAGACGTGCAGGATATTTGATCACAGCTGATTTGTTTTCATGTAATGCAAATTAAAGCTGGTCCTACCAGTTCACTCATTTCCCTCTCATTATAGCTGATGATCTGGACATTTCATCTTCAGCAGTTACACAGCAGAATAATGCCCCCCTCCTCCCCCTTAACATGACCCTCATCTATGTGCTGTTGTGTCATCAGTGTTTGTGTATTGTTAATTGTCCTGTTTGTGTCTTTGTAAAGTTTTGCTCTCAGCACTTCGTAGCTGTGTTTCTCTCTTTGTGGCTCCAGTACACAAGATCATGAGTGTGAAGTTGGTGTAGGCGAGTTGAAAGGATCCGTTTGCAGGTTTAATACAAAGTTTAATAGCCCAACAAAGAATATGCAGCGGTCAGGAACTAGCTAATCAAGAACATAACCATCAAAAGTATCCAAGAATTCAGTGCAACGAGACAAAAGCCAGGCAAAACAAGTCCAGAAAACAGGAACAAATACAGGGCAAAATGACCAAAAACAAGATCCACCAGAACAGAAAGTCAAAAGGCCAGCACAACAGTTGAGAATGACCACAGACAGAGGGAGGAGGCTCCGGACTGCAAAGCTTCACAGGGGAGAGAAGGTAGGTTTGGGGGGCGGGGTATTTGTAGGGGAGGTAGTTAGTGATAAACAGGTGAGGGGAATGACTTGACATTGAATCGGCCTCAGAATTTGGGGGATGCTGACCTCTGGTGTCCAAAGTCAGGAGTGCTACTGACAATGAGGAGCAGCTCCAAAAAATGGAGGAATGCTTCTTTAGAACAGAAAGTGGTTCTATATGGAACCATGAACACTTAAACAACCCTTTGCATGATTAAGGGGTTCTTTGCCTGGTGAAATGGTTCTTCAGGTTGATGGAGAATGTGTTGTATAAGGTTCTATATAGCACCAAAATGGGTTCTTCTATTTTACAACATCAAGCTGGTCACAATAGTAGAACCTTTTTGGTGATATATAGAACCCTTTTGAAAGAGAGTCAGAGTTCAGTCCCTGCTGTCTAAAGAGTTCTCCTCCTGATCATGGTGGTGGTCCACATCTGGGGTCTCCAGGTGAGCTTCAGAGCTGTTTCTCAGACCAATACAAATATTCAAATGAATGCATATGTAGAGTTTATGTTCGAGTATTTTAAATGAGTTGTTCTCATTTAGGACTTCAAGTTGGAAAATGTGGAGCCGACGTCATTAGAACATCCTAATTACTGAGAGTTTCTCATTAGGAGGTAATTACTAGAACGTCTGTCCTCATTTCAGCCAATCAGCTGTGGTGTGATGAGTGAGGGCGGAGCCTAAACAGCCCTGTTTGGTATGAGGCCAGTATTTCCATATGAACTATTTCTGAGGTTTGATATTGTCATTGTTATTCTAATATATGGAGTATAGTTTAATCGTTGTTCTATATTCTATATGTGTCCAACACTGACTGAGGCTTCACATCCCTCACTGATAGGGAAGGTGTTTGTGTGCAGTTCTACACAGTGAGCTACAGAGGGCAGTACAGAGTCGGTGCGGTGTAAGAGTGTGTGTGCAGTGTGAGTGTATGAGGACAGACCTGTGAGGAAGAGCTGGGTGAGTAACTGCTGTTTCTTTTGATCTGTGTCTGATTTCTGTTTTATCAGACACACCAGAATATAAGGTCTATCTAAAAGCTCAGTGTTGAGTTTAAACATCATCAGTTTGGAGTCTGATCCTGTCAGTCTTCTCAGAATGTTCTGAAGCTTCTGGGTTCATTTTGAAGATGCTTTGTTTGTGTGTTCTTCATGGTGAACCTTCATCCTGCTGATCGAGTTATTGATCAGTCGCTCTCAGTCCTCAGAGAACTGATCAGGAGCTCCTGCTGAGAGTGAAAACCTGCTGACTCACTGGCCCTCTGTGGATCAGACGCGCCTGATCTGATCAATACTATCAGATATTCCTGGTCACTGAGCTCATCACTGCACTGCGTACAGTGAAGTTCAACACTGTGTTCTTATAAAGTGCCTGTTTGGTCATATTTAACGCTGTGTTTCCTCATCAGGTTCCTGAATAAACTCTGAGTGTGAAACAGCGTTTCAACAGCAGCTGATCTCACTGCATATTTCAGACACCTCTGACTCATTCTGACTCATTCTGACTCTCTCTGAATCACTGACTCACTATGACTCACTAACTCACTCTGACTCACTCTGCCTCACTCAGAATCACTCTGACTCACTCTGACTCACTCTGGGTCACTCTGACTCACTCTGACCCACTCTGACTCTCTCTGAGTCACTCTAACTCACTCTCTTTCTGAGTCACACTGACTCACTCTGAATCACTGACTCACTCTGTCTCACTCTGACTCGGTCTGACTCACTCTGATTTACTGTGATTCACTCGGACTCGGTCTGACTCACTCTGACTCACTCATAGTCCAGCAGAGAGGATGTCTCCATGGTTTTTTACACGGGTTGTTTCACCCAAAGGTCCACCAGTAGGTGAGCAGTGCTGTGATGTCTGTGTCTGTCTGCTCTGCTGCTGAGTAACAGGACTGAACATCTAAATCTTCAGTTACATATAATGGAAATTTAGTAAACATTTCCTGTGATGTTTGGAACAGTGAGTGTTTATTGGAGTTATTTATGAAGGGAAATAAAGTTCTGTGTGTTTAAGCAGCTCATAGATAAACCTGATTTTCCTGAGTGTGATTTCTTTATGATTTCTGTTGTGTAAACAGTGAAGTACTCAGTCATTCTGGTGGGAAAAACACTGAGCTCTGATCAGGACTTTATAAGAAGGCTGAGTGAAAGATTACCCGGCCTGAAGGAGACGTCAGTGGAGGAGAGTGATGTTGTTCTGCTTTTCTGTCCGATGGTTTCTCGAGCTAGAACTGATATCAAATGGGCGCTGAAGAGACTTCGTGCTGTAAGAGGTACGCAGTTCTGTAATCACCCTGTAACTGAATCTTACACTTTTCTGTATATATCTAATGTACATTAGTTATTATTGGCATCTAAACTGTTTTATTAATGAAGCAGTAAGATCTCCATCGAGACTGTCAGGGCAAGTCGAGTCTGAGTAGAGTCTCTGAGGTGTGAGTGTGTGTTGAGTCTCGAGTGTCTGGTGTGCGAGTCTGAGTCGAGTCTAAAAAGTTCAGGGTGTGTGTCCGAGTCGAGTCTCATGTTTCTTATGTGTGAGTATGAGTTGAGTGTTGAGTCTCTGTGGTGCGTGTCTGAATCATGTCTCGTGTCTCTGAGGTCTGAGTCGAGTCAAGTCTCTCAGGTGCGAGTCTGAGTTGAGCCTTGAGTGTCTGAGGTTCTGTGACAGGCACAGCGCTGAAGGGAAAAGGCTGGAAAATGTAGCTACCAGTTTATAAACCTTTTCCACCTTCCAGAAAAAGTGATTTTGTTGGATAACATAATCCAAATTGTGTGATCAGTGTCTCGGGAACATACTGACAGAAAATCATTATTGACACAAGTCATGTACCTGAGTTAAAGTAGAGACACCCAAGGTAAAATATTACTGCAGTAAAAGTAGAAGTTCCTCCCTTTAGACCTCCACTTGAGTAAAAGTACAAAAGTATTTGCCTTCAAATGTACTTAAGTATGAAAGTAAAAGTACTAAAAGATTAATTATGGCTCTGATGTCCTATTATCATTTTTGTAACAAGACTCGCTTCATTAACTCATTTTAGGTGAAAATACTCCAGTGTCTCTCTTGGTAAACCAGTCTTTTAATAGAATGTCATTAATTAGTGACGCTGATGTCTATTAAAATTATCATCAGCACAAAACACTGAAGGCAAACAGTTTCCATCAGGTAGAACTGAGTGGCTCTGAAATCACTTTACAAACAAGCAAAGTTTCAGTTTAAGATTTATTTACAACTTAGTTACAAAACTAATTTACTATAAAATGAAATGTGTTTGTATAAATTCAGAATAAAGACACGTCAGTCACAACTGCATATGAGTACATATTTCTATATTGTGGTCTATTTACACAAAGTTAGGTTAGTTCATCATTTATGTTGAATAGACTCTCCCAAAATTTTACACTGCTGCACTGATGTTGAACCGTGTGCTGCACTGGGTCGGTATGACCAACAGGTCAAAACAAGCTCAAAACAAAGTGACCGCTGTGCCCTGATTGGTGTTCTTACTTTGTGCTTCTTTCGTTTTGACCTGTTACGTTTTTATACACACATAAACCAAAAGGAACAACAGATTTCTCATAATGTAGTGGAGTAAAAAGTGAGATATTAGACTCTGAAATGTAGTGGAGTGAAAGGAAAAAGTCCCCCAAAATGGAAAAACTTCAGTACAGATACACAGAAAAGTACTTAAGTACAGTAATGAATTACATTTACTTAGATACTGACCACCACTGCTGCCAAATCTACAAATAAAGAATTTAGATGACATGAAATGGCAGTAAGCCTCAGCTTCCAGGGGGCACCCTGCGGACCCCCACCAACATCAAAATCAAACCCACACCCTTGGACAGAATATTACAGCACAGCACTGTTTAAAACTGTTGGATTGCTGCTCTGGTTTGTCTAGGTCAGCGGTCGGCAGCATGTGGCTCTTTTACTGTCCTGTTGTTGCTCCACAGCAGAATCAGATTAGTAGGTAAAAATAAAATAAAGCTCTGCTGATTGTTCAACACAGTTTAACAGTAAATGGTCTTAAACTCTGGAGTTAATGTAGAACTGCTGATTCACCCTTTAACCCTGAAGAT